TTCTGGAGACCGACGCCTAGCTGCGGAACAGACCGCTTGGACGCCGGGGTCGCCGGCGAGTTGGGCAGACCCCCACCGCCCAACGCCGCCTCGGCCGCCAGCCTGATATGTTTGACGTGTGTCCTGTCGAGGAGTTGCGTGATCGGGTCGTTGAATGCAGCAGTCGGCAGTGGCAGCGTCTTGGGGCTCGTGGCGAATCGGCCTTCCTGGGTGTACGGGTGCGTTCGTACGCCGACAAACTCGCGATCATCCCAGTCGCCGGCCTCCTCGCGCGCCTGGGCCTCGGCCGCGCGAGAAGCAGCCTGCATCTCGGCGAGCGCCGCCCTCGACTCCTCCGTCCGTTCGTCGCGCAGCCTCCTGTCCTCTTGCCGCAGTTGTTCGAGAGCCTCTGCGTGGTCGTCTCTTCCCGCCTCTGCAGCCGTGCGCTTCTCAAACTCTGCCTGTGATGCTTCCTCCTCTTTTTGTGACCGCAGTCTTGCCGCCTCAAAGTCCTTCTGCAGCATGACGAGCGCATCGTATTCGCGCTGGTTCCTCGCCGTCGCATTGATGTAGTCGTGCTGGTCATCCGTGAGTTCGTGCTCGTGCTCGTGCTCGTGCTCGTGCTCTGCCTCGCCGTCGAGAAGAGCGGCCTCCTCGGCAGAGCGGCGTGCGGTCGAGTAGTCCACTTCTTCGAGATCGCCGTCTGCCGCCTGGCGCAGCAGGACGGGGCTGTCTTGATCCTGCCTGGGCTTGGGCTTGGCGGCGAACTTGCCGTACGGAATACCGACATCGTCAGGCGTCGTCTCGCGAAGGGGCGGGCCGAAGAGTCGCACGTAGTGGTTGTATTCCTCTTCGTTAAGGTAGCCTTTGGGCAGGGTGTCCCTGAACCGTTGCTTGGCCTCCTGAACGATCTGCTCAATTTCGGCAGCGCCCTTGTGTCCGGCGTTTTCAGGCGAAGCATGTTTGTCGGCTGGTTGTTCGGATGCAAGCGATGACATTTGGTTGTCGAGGGCTCGGCTGGTCGTGGCAAACGATCGAAGTGTCGAGGCAGGTAGCGTCGTCCGTGATGGGAGGATTCTTTGCGACGCAAAGCTCGCTCCCCTGTTTGACAGCGTTGTCGTCGCGACAGTGTGTCCAGTCCAGGGTGTCAGTCGGGCCCTGCAGCTGGGGCAAGCTTTCCTCAGGCTGCCAGCAGCCAACATTTTCGACATGATGACCGGTAGCGAGTGATGATGAAGGGAATGGAAAAGGAGAGGCAAAAGGCAAGGCTCAATCGCAGAAGCTCAGATCGGCGTCTCGAGAAGGACCAGAATTTAGGTGGAGCCATTGTCAATGTGACGTACATGATTGGGTCATCTGCACTAGCCCGGACCCTGCCTTGTTGGCTGTTGACAGCCTCAGTCCGTCAAGGAGAAGGGTCCCCCCCTTGAGTCTGGGTGGCCATCCCACATGATGCGCTGCTTTCATGATACCAGAGATGGAGTACATGAGTTGAGCCAGAATCATCACAGTCACCATCTTCAACAGCAGCAAACAAAACCTGGTATCATTCACATGGGCAGCAGTTCTAGCGTCTACCCCTTGGTCCATTACTTACCTGTCTTGGAGCTCACGCTTCGAGCCTCGCGCCTCGAACTGCATTGGCAAGCCTCTTGACCCCACGGGTCGCTGCCTTCCACCTCTACTCATCTTTGCCCAGGTCAGCCAGCGTCCTGAAGGCCGAGGGGCCGCGCTGGCGGCGCCCTCGTCTTTCCGGCGGGACCGGCACCACGGGCGGCGTCTCTAGCTGGCGGGTTCACGAGGTTAAAGCTCGACTTTTCGGCGGCTTGCAAGGGATCGATCTATAGAGGCCCAGTTAGGCAACCAATCCGTGAACATGGACCAGAACCCGGCCGCGGGCACGCCGAAGAGGTAATAACGCACTGCAACGAGCGTGACGACGTAGAGGGCCGCGATGGTGAAGAGGTGGCGCAGGATCGAGACGATATCGAAGCCCGAGTTGTAGGGCCGCGACGGCGGCAGGCCGCCGCTGCCGGCCGCCGCGCCGACGCCCTGGCCGCCGAGGGTGCGGCCGGGGGTGCCGAAAGGAGGCGCCGCCGGTCTTGGTCTTGTCGGGCAGCTTCATGGCGTTGGCGACGGCGTTGGCGAGGGCCGGCGGGTTGGCGCCGCGGATCGTCTCGATGGGCTTGCCGGCGTGGAAGATGACGAAGGTCGGCATGGCGCTGACGCCGTGGGCGCGCGAAATGGTCGACTGCGTGTCGACGTTGATCTTGCAGAAGGCGGCCTTCTTCGGCTTGGAGTACTCGTTGGCCATCTTCTCAAAGTGCGGCGCGATGGCCTTGCAGGGGCCACACCAGTCGGCGTAGACTGCGCTTTGGTCAGCGAGAGATCACCAGGGATCACCAAAGGTGGGGAAGGGGTGGCGTACAGTCTGCGACGACAACGTTCGTGCTGTTCAGAACGTCCTGCCATTGTGACGGTGACTGGATGCTGATGAGGCCGCTCATGATGGGCTGTGCGTTTGTGTTGTTTTCGTGAGGACCACAGGGAAATTGTCGGAGATCCTGAGGAGAGGGAAAAGAGAAGAGAAGGGGCAATGCGAATCGAGGCGCAGAGGATACGGTTGATGAAGACAGCAGATGGATGATGGAGGCCAGCCTGGACATTGGCGTGATCGTTCCATTGGGGCGGGAGAATGAAGTGGACCTGGCCTAGGCACAGCTCCCTGGTCGCCTTCGGGAGGGACTGGGGAAGATAAGCTCGAATTGGGTAGGTGGTGTTACTGATAAGGGGTTCTGCCGGATATGTGCATCGAGTCCACAATTGCGGGACCAGAAACTTTTGCTTTTCGGTTTGAGAAGGTGCCGCTGCTGCTGCTGCTGCTGCTGCTCTTGCTGGATCCTCTCGATAGCCTCGTTTTGTCATAACTTCACCTGTCGTTGTGCATTGTCTTTCACACATTGCCATGTCTCGCCCAGATCATCCAGAAAAGGTCAGCGACACTTCTATCGACATTCTCATGCAATCATCTAACTAGTAACAGCGCAGGAAGCTCGGCCACGATGACGAGACCCCTCCCAACCGAGACCCCCCGAGGGCTGCGGCGAGATTTCACCCCATTGAGGGAGGTCGTGACTGGACAATATCGGTGGCCATCCCCGGAAGCATTGTCGCAGAGTAGGAGAAGTTCCGTCTGGCAACAGCACACAGTCTCTAACAAGGATTCAGCTACAAGACCCTCGACCAGCGCATGACCGCCCCCGGCCGCATCGCCCGTGCCCTAGCCATCTTCAATGTCGACGAGGTTGTCGTCTACAACGATCTGCCTCCTCTCACGAACGAGGGATACCAGGAACAGCCCCTGCCGCACAAAAAGGACCGCCGCGACAATCGCTCTCACGGCGGCCACAACTCGCGGTCGTCCCACAGGAACGACAGCGAGTCCTCCATCACAGCCGACGTCGACCCCTGCCACTTCCTCACACACGTTCTCTCCTACCTGGAGGCACCCCCTTTTATGCGCAAGGCCCTCTTCCCCATCCACCCCAACCTGCGACTCGCCGGTCTCCTGCCTGGCCTCGACATGCCTCACCACCCGAACCCCATCGACATCGCCCTGCCGTACCGCGAGGGCGTGACCCTCGAGGCCATGGCCCCCAACGCCAAGGGCACCCTCGTCGACATTGGCAACCGCGCGCCCGTCCACCTCAAGGATGAGGTGCCCCCGAAGACCCGTGTCACCGTCCATCTGCCAGAGGGCGACAACGGCCCCGCCGAGGCCGTCCACCCGGCCGCCCCGCGCGAGGAGGGAGGCTACTACTGGGGCTACACGGTGCGTCGCGCCGCTTCCTTGTCGGCCGTCTTCGAAGAGTCCCCCCACGAGGGCGGCTACGATCTGAGCATCGGCACGTCGGAGCGTGGCGACTCTGTGAACCGCGCGTTCCCCGACCTGAAGAAGACGGCAAAATTCAAGCACCTGCTCATCGTCTTTGGCGGCCCCAAGGGCATCGAGCACGCCGCGTACAACGATGCCCAGCTGTATGAGATGGGCATTGGTGGGCAGGGCACGAGGCAGCTGTTCGACCACTGGGTCAACGTCCTGCCGGGCCAGGGCAGCCGGACGATGCGCACTGACGAGGCGGTCTACGTGGCCATGGCCGGTCTGCGGAGGGTGTGGGATCTGAGCTAGGCGACATGCGCAGAGGATACTGGGAAGAGGAAGCAGTGGGACGCATGAATCATGTTCACAGAGAGGAGACCAGAGTGTGTCGTGGTTGAGGATACCCCGGAATTTTTCTCAAAAGTTTACAAAGTTGGGATAACGTGCTGAATTTTGTTTCTTCCATCGACAGCGTAGTTTGAACGTCGTCACCATTCTTTGAAAAGACATCACTTGGTCACGAGAGACAAAGAAGAAGAAGAAGGACAAGGAGAAATCCAAAAAAAGGCGAAGAATTCCCTGCCTACATCCACCTCTCCCCAAGACGAACACAAGAAAAACGGGACAGAAAGAAAAAATTCCTACTCGTCGTGTTTGTAAACGCCAATCCCCGCCGTGAATCCCGCGATGTTGTCATCGTACGACGCAATGTCCCGGCCGTTGCGGGTGATCATGGCCCTCGTGCCGACAATGTTGAGGTTGTAGACCTCGACGCCCGTCGACGAGCCGACGACGCCGCTCGCCGTGGCGTTGCCGTAGACGCAGCCGCCGTGGCTGCCGCCAATGTCGAAGATGCGCTGCTGGCAGCGCGCGCCGGCCCCGATTCTGGCAGCAGGCGGTGCTGTAGTCTTTGAAGAAGCTGTAGAGTCCGGCGCCGTACATCTTGACGTCGCGCGAGGCCTCGATCTTGAGTCCC